ATTTAAACGTGTGACAGCCTTGGATTTATTTAAAACGAAACATTTTACGCGCGCTACATTTAACTTAATTGGCTTTAAAAGGGAAAAAAAGCTCTTTCCAGTATAAATTTTCCGTATTGAAAATAATACAATGGATTACGCGCTTATATCGAGTACTCTGACTCGACGGTGACAATAAAAAAAACGTTTACCCCCCCCCCCGCGCCCTTCGCGCGTGGGGTCACCACCCCACGGATCGTTAAATAAACAAACAGAAAAAAAAAATTTACTCACCCCTGACGCGCACGGGTCCACAATAAACAAACGAAAAAAAAAATTTTACCCACCCCTCCCACGGATCGGAAACGAATGACGAAAATTTCGACCAATGAGAATGAGTTTTTAAAATCGTCGCGACGCGATTGGTCAATTTAAAAAAAAAAAACATAAATATTAAAAAATATATAAAGATTCGAAGGATGTGGAAATTTTTTTCGCTTTTCTTTTTCTTTTTTCCTTTCCTTGCGATTATTTCTCACGGGTATTTAATCATTCGTCGTTGTTTTTCAAACGGGATAAAAAATAATAATATTGATAATAATGGATCGAAATGAGTTTAAGACAAAAAAAAAAAACCAGACAAAGAAAAAATTTTTTTTTCATGCGGCAGCAAAAAAAAAAAAGAAAATGGAGTCTTTCTTTTTTTTTTTTTTAAATATTATAAACATTTTTGCCATTCAATTTATTTCAATTTTTTTTTTTTTTTAAAGTTAAAAATGGTTGCTTTGTTGTCAAGCAAAAGTCAATCTCCGGATTTTTGATGAATGCTGACGTTTTTTTGGGTGAATGAACATTGAGAAGTGTTTTTATATATACCAAAAGTTCCTGCTCGTCTTCTATTCTCTCTCTCTTTTTACAATCAATCTATCTTTTACCACCCACTCCCTACCTCTATCTCTCTCTCTCTCTCATTTTTTTTCTTCCATTATTTTTTATCGTCTTTTCAGTATCACTGTCTACTTCTTAAAATTGATGCTTGAAAAAAAAAAAAATTTTTTTCTCTCATTCTCTCTCACTCTTTATATGGATTTATTCTTCACGACGATAATAATGATGATGATGATATAAAAAAAAAATGTACGAGGACAAAAGTGATAATGATAATGATGATGATAAAAATTGAATTTTTAAAATTATATTGACGAATTGTCTCTTTTAGTTAACGTTTACTAGAATTGAATCGACTCGAAAAAATTTTCCAGGTTGTAAGAAAATTTTTTTTTTTTTGAATTCTGCGCATGGGTCAATATTTTAGTCGACTATTCTCTCTCTCTCTCTATCTCTTTCATAATTTTATTAAAAATCTGGTGAAATCTCTAACGGATTTAATATTAAAAATCAATTAAAACAAATTAAAAATGTTTTTCTTCTTCCACGAAAATAAAACAACCGGAAAATGACGACGACGACGACGATATTTAATAATTTTTCCTTTTAACTTTTCATCATTCATTCATTCATTTTATTATTATTATTATTATTTTTCTTTTGAGTTTTGTTTCTGGTCAACAATTTTTATAAACTTTTATAAAAACAAAAAAATGAAAAAGAAAAAAGATTTATTTCTTTTTTTAAAAAAAAAAAACCTCTTATTCCATTTATTCAACAAAAAAAAATTTTCTTTTATTTTCACAAGTACCAATTCAAATCTTTTTCAAAAAACTTTCTTTTTTTTTTTTTTAAACTAAAATGAAAGAGGAAAGAAAAGAAAAGAAATTTCAATAAAAATGTTAGTTCGAAAATAGAAAAACCGCCATTATCATCATCATCATTATTATTACTTAAGAGAAAAATGGCGGGAAAAATTTCCCAAAATAAAAAATTTTCGATAAAATAATTCCCTTTTTTCCTCCCTTTCTCTTCCCTTCCCTCTCTTTTTCTCTTTAATAATTAACACGTCAAAAAAAAAAAAATTAAAATTTGTGTGACGTCATTAGAAAAATAAAACAAACAAACGTGAATGTGTGTGTTTGTGACGTCACATTACGAAAAGTTTTTTTTTTTTTTACTTCCGTTCGAGTCTCGTATTTGAATTTTTTTTTTTTTTTGTTAATTGATGCGAACCTTTTTTGACCTTTTCGACCTTTTTTTTTTACTTCTTCATTTTTTTTCTTTTTTTTTGTATAAGGAAAATTTTACGTGAACGCTATAGAACGAACGCATTAATAATAATAATAATATTTAACGTTAACTTTTTTTTTTCTAATTTACGTAAAAAGTAAAGAAAAAAAAAATTAAAAATAAATAAAAAAAGGATGGAAAAAAAAAGGTTGTCGATGAATGAAACGTAAAAAAAAAAGAAAAGCAGAAGAAACGCACAGCTACACGAAAAAAAAATTATTTATTATTATTATTATTATTATTTATTTCCGACATCAAAGGAAATAAAAATAAAAAATAAAATTTTTTTTTTTTTAACTGACGCGAACCGTCAAAAATTTTTTTTTATAAAGTCGTAAAAAAAATAAAAAATTATTAATTAACTAGCAGACGACGTTAGAGAAATTAATTTTACATTGCGTTAATAATAATAATAATTATAATAATTACAATAATAAAAACCAGATTATTATTACTAAACAAAGTTTTTGTTATTTTTGTTTTGTTTTTAATGTTGGCAACGCGTTGAGTGGGTGCGAGAAAAAAAAAAACAAAAAATTTTATTGCACTTTTTATTATTATTATTATTATTATTATTATTATTATTATTATTATTATTATTATTATTATTAATAAATTCTAGAACTTTTCGTACGTGATAAAAAAAATGTATATATTTTAACAAAAATTTTCAATAATTTATTTAAATAAAAAAAAAAAAAATTTTGTATTTTTATCATTTCGGATGATAAGTAATTTTTTTTCATTTCTTTCCAAAAAAAAAAAAAGTTTCTGGAATAAAAATAAAAGAAGAAGAAAATTTTTTTTTATTTTTCCGGCGAAAAATATATATATAAATTTAAAAAATTTTCTGGAAAAAAAATAATAATAATACTTTTGGGGATTCGAAGGGATCTTGAAACGTTTGACAAATAAAAAAAAATTTTTTTTTTCTCTTCTTTTTTTTCCTTCTTCCTTTTTTTTTTTTTATTTAATTTTGCCGTGAAACGTTTTATTATTATTATTATTATTATTATCATCATCATTATTATTATCATCATCATTATTATTATTTGATTTCCGTTAATTTATTAATTAATTAAAAATAAATAAAATTAATTATTCGAATCGTTTTTTTTTGCGATAAGTAAATAAAAATCGAAAAAAAAAATTTATTATTATTATTAATAACATTATCATCATCATCATTATTGTTATTTTAAAAGAGGATCGGGAAGAAAATTCCAGAGAAAACGTCATCATTCCAATTAAAATTTTTCCAAAAAAAAAAAAATTGTAAACGAAAACCCGAAAATAGAAAAACATTTTTTTGTTTGCTTCCCTTAAATTTTTTTTAAATGTTTCTTTCTCTCTCTTTCTCTCTTCCACACATAGTTTTTCCATCACTCCCTTTCTATCCCTCTCACACGGTAAAAAAATTTTCCTATTATCAATGGTGACTATTTCCGTTTAAATAAAATGTTTAGAAAATTTAATAACACGTCATTGAATCCGTCGGCGTCCTCTATCAAAGGGTCATTGACCCATTTACTATCGGTCATTTTGATAAAATCCCCGAAAAGATAATAATAATAATAATAATAATAACAAGATTTATACGTCACGAAAATTTTTTTCTACTACTCGTAAAACTATAGTAAAAATGACACTCGCATATATTTAATATAAGTAAAACGATCTCGCTCATATTAATGTTATGCGAGGTAGTATCAAATAACAAACGTTTGGAAAAGTCGAGAGGATAACAACAACAACATGCAAATAATTAATTTAATTTTTATTATTTTTTTCTTACCTATTTTTAATTAGATCCAAACTTATGAAAAGAAAAAAATTGTGCGGCGACAAACGAGGAAACAACAACAACAACCAGAGGCTTCAAAAACAATTTTTTCCTTTTTTTTTTTTTTCTTCTGCTTTGACGGTAACATATTTCGTAATAAAAAAAAAAAAACGTTACGTGTCGTAAACTTTTTCTCTTGTGATATTTTTCCTTTTTATTTTTCATCCTCTTCTTTTTCCATTTATTTTTTATTTTTTGTCCATTTAATTATAAATTAAAAATAAATATTTTTCCATTGAATTTATTCCATTGAATTAAAAAAAACAATTAATTAAACGACGTTCGTTTATTTTAACAAAAAAAAAACCTTCGTCGTCCATTTTGTTTTTTTTTTTTTTTTGAAATGAAAAAAATAATTTTTTTTTTATATTACTCACGGAAAAAGTATTATTAAAAATCATTTTCAATCAATCAATCAATCAAATTTTTAAAAGAGCTTTTTCCTATTTTTAATTTTTTCGGTTTCCGTTTGTTGTTATTTTTTTGATGTTTTTTATTTTTTGTTTTTGTTTTATCAAGCATTATTTAAATTGTTTTCCGTTTTTTAAATACTCATATCCGGTATATCGATTTTACATACTTCCGCTTTATCGATATATCGTTCGATATAAAAAATAAAAACAACACTTTTCATCGTTTGTTTTTTAAATTATTGTATACGAAATTTATTTTACTAAATTAAAAAAAAAAAAAATTTTTTTCTTCTGCTAATTATAGCGTTTTAAAAATTTTCAATAAAGCCATAGATAATAACAAAGAAGAAAATTTTATTCCATTTCCGGTTTTTAGTTTTAGTGCACGTACGTCGTCGCGTTTTACGTTTTTTTTTTTCTCCGTACGAATAAGCGTTTGTTTAAACAAAAAAAAAAAAATATTTACACTAATAAAAAAAAAAATAAGGAATGTGTTTGTTTTTTTCCGATGAGCAAAACAAACGGAAATGCCAACATAACAAAAACTAAAAAAAAAAAAAAAAGAAATTTGTCGTTTAAGATTGTTATGGTGCGACGAAAAGAAGAAGACACAAACATAAAATTAAACAATCTAAATGGGAAGAACGATGGTGAGCTTGTCCTCCATGTTGCATAGCAGCCGGATATTCACCTAAAAAATTTTTATTTATTTATTTATTTATACGTTAAAATTTAATAACTATTTCCGGTTTTTTTTTTATTTTTGGGAAACTTACCGTTAAGAACGTGTACAGTTATACTTTTACTTTGTGCGTTTGATGGATTGCACTGATATCTTCCGCTATCAGAAGGTTTTGCTTTTTGTATTAGGAGAAAACTAGTTGTTACTTCTCCTTTTTCTGTTATCACGCTTACTCCACCTCTTGGTGAATCGTAACTGATTATCTATTAATATATATTATTAAAAATAATTTTTCCGCCATTTTTATTTTTATAAAAAAAAAAAAAAAAACTTACAGCGTCGTTATGATTCCAAAATATGTAGGCAGGCGGTTCTGGACTGTACAAAACTACACAAGTCAAATTAATTGTGCTTCCTCTGTCTATGTAAAGATCTGGAGCTCCTATTATGTTTGTTGTCGGCTCTGTAATTATTATTATTATTATGACGTCATTAAAATATAGATGGCATTTGTTGCTTAAAAAAATCTGGAAAAAGATCGGAGGGAGAAGGAAGAAAAAAAAAAATTGAAAAAAAACGTGGAGCACGTAAAAATGAAGGAAATGATAAATATATATATATATATATACGTAACAGGAAAATAAGAAATGAAAAAGTTGAAAAAGACGGAAAAGAAAAAAGAAAGAAAAGCGGAGAGGAGGAGTGGCGAAGAGGGAGGGAAGGAGGAGAAGGAAGG